GCCGAGACTATGCCTTAGTTCTGCACATTGCTGCCCACATTGTCTACTGTGACAGCAGAGATATACCCTGAAAGAGGCTCTTCAAATTTTTTTCTTTTCCTCTTATTTTTAATTTTTATTTTTTCTTATCTTGCAAAGTCTTCCTTTTTTTCTTTCTTCTCTTTCCTGCTCAGTCTCTGGCTCCCCCAAGTTAATCTACATCTACCTTTTTGTTCCCCTTCTTGCCCTAGTTCGGGTTTCTTCTCTCTCTTTTCTTCTCTCTTTATTCTTCACTTAATGGTCATTAAAGTGAGTATACTTTATAGCTTCCCTATTTGTTAAATTGTTCTATTCTTGTTTTTGCTTTTGCACTGTCTTTCCCTCTTGTCTTCAACAGTTTCCCAGAGTTTTCATGATCATCCTGTGTCCTCTGACTTCACTTGAAACCTTCTCCTATTCTTTAACCTATCTATTACTCTCCTCCCAACACCTTCTAAGTCCCAAACCTGAAGGGTAAAGCTGCTACAATGAAGAGTTTATTCATTATAAACATATTTTGGGATGGTCCTCAATTTTTATTTAATTCACATGATTAAAGGTGATAGATTAATAACTACCACAAATGGACAATTTCTAAGTTGTGCTTCATGCTACTGTGTTGCTGATTGTATCAATTTGGCTAAAGGGTTGTGAATGATTTAATGAGTTGTCCTTTCTGATATTATGGATATGAGAGTGTCTCTGAATGATTAGAGACTCAAATCCTAAAGAGCAGCTATATCAGGAAGATCAAAGCACTAATGCAGGAATTAAACCATGGACAGCCCAACACCAAAAATAAAAAATGAGAAAACACTTACTCAAGGCACAAATACAGATATCCAGCTCACCAATAGCAAATTCTAGGGGAAATGAGGTGGAAAAGTGTGACAATCAAGCACCAGAACACTCTGAACTCAAGCACAGGAAGTAACAAAACATCAATCAGGCTCTAGAAAAATTCAAAACAGAAATAATTTCCCAGATAATTACAGAGATGGTAGGCACAATGAAAGACATGATTAGAGACTTTAGAATAGAAACAGACCAAAAAATAGAGGTGCTCAGGACCATGATAGAAGCCATGAATGCCCAGCATAGGAAAGAAATGGAATCCATAAAACAGATTCAAACACATATTAAGGAGATTAAAAACTCTACTGAAAAATCCAAGTAGATTAAAGATCTAAATATTAAAAAAGGAACACTAAATTTGCTGGAAGATATGTTAGGCAGAACTCTCAAAGGCATTGGCATGGGAAAAGACTTTATGAACAAATCCTCCATATCATGGAAACTAGCAGAAAGAATCAACAACTGGGATCTCATCTTATTAAAAAGATTCTGCACTGCAAAAGAGACCACGAACAGAGCTAAGAGACAACCTACAATGTGGGAAAACATTTTTATCAGCTGCTCCTCAGACAAAGGACTATTATCTTGAATATAAAAGGAATTCAAAAAAACAGGCTCTACTACTGAAGATGTATAAAGAGATGGATACATGGACAGATATATGATGAAGCAATATAAGATAAAGCAATATAATAGTGTTAATTGTAGAATCCAGTGTTAGGTATTTCAGGTGTTCATAATTCTTCTAATTTTGATCTATGTTTGAAGATTTTTGTAATAAAGTGCTAAGAAAAATCTCATAGTGGTTTTCAAAAGATGAGAAAAAACAGAGCCTCCCCTGGCAATATGTATGACTTACTCTTTCTAAGTTCCTTGCTAAACTCCCTTCCAAGCTGATTTTGAATGAACTGACCTCCACTCCCGGTTCTCGTGTAAACTGGCAGCTTCTTTGCCATATCGATGAGCATCTGCTTCTGGACCTCAGGTCTCTCTTCATTTTCATAGCGCTCCTTGTCTGTATAGGACAAGTGGAACTGGAAGCAGAAGTGATAGGCAACACTTTATTTTCCAAGGTTCACAGAATGGATTAAAAACATTAACTACTTAAATAAAAACATTTCTTACCCATACTTGAAGCCCAGGTTAACAATTTATCTTATAACTTTCACTGGATTTCATCTCAACATTTATGACTCTAGGAGGTATGTGGCATTATTTTATAAACAAAATAAAAATTAGAGAAGGTGTCTTGTCCAAGGTTGTACTGCATCAGTTATTAAGTAGCAAAGCATGGTTCCAAATTTAATTCTCCAAATTTAATTCCTGATTCCAAGACTCACTGTCTTTCCATTGCATTCTACTATAACAAATGTCACAGACAGATGTATAACATACTGCTACCAGGATCTTGTTGATGGCTAACTGTGCTTTTGAAGTTGTGTTTTTTACAGGTGACATTGATGACATTTTTGGAGAAGCTGGATTTGCCTGCTTATGATATTTCCTATTCAAATCTTGAAAATGAGTAGAAATTTAGATATTCACACTATGTATCTGAGAAATTTTTAGTCTGGTATGGAGTGTGTTACCATTTTAATTCTATAGTTTGTTATTCTTGCAAAAGACATGCCATCAGTTTTCCAAAGTCATATATATTTCACTACTCTGGGTCAAAGGGTAGATAGAGGAGAAAAAAATCTAAGTATCTCAGGTTAGAATTTATTGGTTTAAGCTTCACTGTTGTCATTTAAAAGGTAGATAATTGCTTTTAAAAGTCCAACATTATTACCCTAAATTTATTTATCTGTAAAATACAGGAAGTGTAAATAAGGTTCAAATTGTATAACTGATAATGTGAAATAGGAAGAAAAAGGCTACACAAGTAGGTGAAATGGGAAGGGGAGGAGAGGGGAAAGAAGGGAAAAAATATAAGAAAAGGAAAAACTGGAAACAAAGTCTTTGTAAATAGGGAAGGGTGGAGGTGGTGAAGGGAGGGCAGGGGAATGGAGAAAAAATAAGAACTAAGATACATCATGTGTAGAGATAAGCTTCACTGTTGTCATTTAAAAGGTAGATAATTGCTTTTAAAAGTCCAACATTATTACCCTAAATTTATTTATCTGTAAAATACAGGAAGTGTAAATAAGGTTCAAATTGTATAACTGATAATGTGAAATAGGAAGAAAAAGGCTACACAAGTAGGTGAAATGGGAAGGGGAGGAGAGGGGAAAGAAGGGAAAAAATATAAGAAAAGGAAAAACTGGAAACAAAGTCTTTGTAAATAGGGAAGGGTGGAGGTGGTGAAGGGAGGGCAGGGGAATGGAGAAAAAATAAGAACTAAGATACATCATGTAAAGGTACAAGATCCCAATGATGAATGTAACTGTATTGTATACCTAGAATATACCAATAAACTTAATGAAAAAAAGATACATTCAATGGAGTCCAGCATCATAAAAGAAGAGAAACTACCACACTGTGTGCTTCCAGGCTTCCCCTAAGGATGAATAGCAGTAATTGATATTCTAAATAGGTATCAATCACTTGGGTCCGGGACCAACGTCTTAACCCACCCTTTCCAGGAAATATCCCTGACCAAAAATCCTTGAACACTTGTTATGTGACTTGCTTCCTCAATGCACCCCTATTTAATCAAAATTACCTAAGCAACTATAGTTGTAATCTTATTGGTTGACATAATTTTGTCCACCTTGTGATTTCTCAGGGGATCAATATTATCTAAGCAATCTTACTAGTTGGCTATAGTTTTATCCCACTTTGATTCTGCCTCACTTCATGGTTTTGTCTCAAAAAAGACCTTTGAGAAGCAGGGTTGGTGGGAAACCCACTTTCTGGACCCCCTTCTGTCTCTTAGACAGAAGCTATATTTCAATAAATTCTTGCCATTCTTAACTTCTGATGTTCCTAGAATTCATTCTTTAATTTTAGAGAGCACAAATTCATGTTTTGAATACCTAGCAGTTTGGAGTTACATCTATTTCCCCTATATCAAGAGGATGTTGGCAATAGGCTTGTCATATGTGGCTGTGATATTGAGGTAAGATCCTTCTATATCTTTTTTCTTTGGTGTTTAAAAAACATGAATGGATATTGTATTTTTCACAGGAATCTTCTTCATCTTTTGAGATGATCATATGAATTTTGTCCTATTTATGTGACACACTACACCTATTGATTGGCATATATTGAACAATACTTGTATCCGTGGGATGAAGCCCATTTGCTCATGATGTATGTATGATCTTTTGTATGATTTGTTGCTTTCTATTTGCCAGTATCTTGCTGAGGATTTTTGCATCAATATTTATTAGAAAAATTGAACTATAGGTTTTTTCTTCTCTCTCTCTCTCTCTCTCTCTCTCTCTTCTTTTTTTGAGACAGGGTCTCACTATGTAGTTGAGACTGGCCTGGAACTCACCATGTAGCCCAGGCTGGTCTCGAACTTATAGCGATCCTCCTGCCTCAGCCTCCCGAGTGCTGGGATTACAGGAGTGAGCCACCACACCAGCCTATAGGTCTCTTTTTTAATTGGGTCCTTTAATGGTTTTGGAAGGAGGGTAATGCTTGCATCAAGGAATGACTTTGGGACTACTCCTCTTTTAATTTCATTAAAGAATTTGAGGAGCATTGGTGTTAGGTCTTTAAGTTTTTGTAGAATTCAGCAGTGCATCAATGTGGACTTACATTTCTTCCTTAGTTGCTAGGTTTTATATTTAGTGTTTATATTGTTCTTCTTTTTCTAGGGATTTGAGGTGCTCTGTTTGGTTATTTATTTGGGATACCTTTCATTTTGTGATGGAGGCATTTACTGCTATAAACTTTCATCTTAGGACTGGTTTCATTTTGTCTAATACATTTTGATGTATTGTACTGGCATTATTTAGTTTTAGCAAATATCTTATTCCTTCCTTGATTTTTTTGCACCCTATTGTTTACTTGACTGTCTTGTTTAGTTTCTATGCATTTCCATAATTTCTGTTTTCTCATGAACTTAAAGTTTTACTGTGCTATGATCAGATAATATGCATGGTATAATTTTAATTGCTTTGCATTTATTTCACCTTTATTGGCTACTATGTGGTCTGTTTTGGAAAGAGTTTTAGGTGCTTCTGGAGAATATGTATTCTGCTGTTGTTTGATAGAACTCATTGTAGATATATATTTAGCCCATTTGTTCAAAGGTTTTGCTGAACAATGATATTTCTTTATTGATTTATTTTCTAGTTGATCTATTTGTGATAGTGAGGTATGAAGTCTTCTCACTATAATTATGTGCATGTTTATATCATATTTTATGTCCTATAGCACTTGCTTTATGAAATTGGATGTTACATTTTTCAGGGCGTATATGTTAAATATTGCTACCTCTTCCTGTTGCATCGTTCCTCTAACCAATAAAGAGTGAACATCTTTACCTCTTTTTGTCAGTTTTGACTTGAAGTCCACTTTATCTAAATATAGGACAGCTAAACCTCCATTCTGAGGGGGTTGCCATTATATGAAATGTTGCTTTGTCTCCCTTGATTTTGAGCCTATGAATTACTTTTTAAAAATTTAATTTTACTGGTACATTTTAAGTATACAATATAATGACATTCACCATTGGAAATTTGTCCCTTTACATAAGCTATCTTGATTCTTATTTTTCCTTTCTCCTGCACTCCCTTCAACATCTTAACCACTCCCTATTTACAAAGACTTTATTTCCGGTTTTTCATTTTCTCATATTAAGTCCCTTCCCCAATCCCTCCCACTTCCCCTTCCCCTTTCTAATGTTTCTTCCTATTTCACAAAATCTATTAAGGCTTTTGATCCTTATTTACACCTTCAGTTATACACATCAGAGAAACTATTCATTATTTACAAATGTCTGTCCTATTTCACTTAAAGTATCGACTCAAGGCTGGGTATGTTGGCGCACGCCTGTAATCCCAGTACTCAGGAGGCTGAGGCAAGAGGATCACTGTGAGTTCGAGACCAGCCTGGGATACACAGTGAGTTCCAGGTCAGTCTCAACTACATAGTGAGACCCTGTCTCAAAAAACAAAACAAAACAAAACAAAACAAAAAAACCAAAAAATAAAAACAAAAAAAGAAAAAGAGTATACACTCATTGTGCATCCATGTAGCTATAAATGTATCTAATTTCTCATTTTTTATGGCTGAGTAGTACTCAACTTTATTTTTTTAAAAAAGCACATTTCTTTATCCAGTCTCCAGTTGATGGGTAATTGGGCTGGTTCCAACTTTTAGCTACTACAAACTGTGCTGCTATAAACATGGGTGTACATATATCACTGTGGTGTGATACTTTTAATTCTTTTCAGAAGATGCCCAGTAGGAAAATAGCTGGGTCAAAAGGGACCTGTAACTGTATATTTTTGAGGTATCTCCATACTGATTTCCACAGTGGTTGCACCAGTCTTCACTCCAACCAACAGTGGAGCAGGGTTCCTTTTTCACCATAGCCCTGATAGTATTTGTTATTGGTTGATTTATTGATAGCAGCCATTCTTTCTGGAGTGAGGTGGGACCTCAGTGTTGTTTTCATTTGCATCTCTCCAATGACAAATGATATTGAACATTTTTTTCATATGTTTATTTACTATTTCTACTTCTTTGAGAAATATCTGTTCATTTCAGATGCTCATTTTTGGTTTGGGTCATTCAATTTGGGATGTCTGATTTTTCTAAGTTCTTTATATATTCTAGATAGTGGACCTTTGTCTGATGAAAACCTGGTAAAATTTGGGTAAACCTGGTAAGATGTGGGTCGTCTCTTCACACTCTTGGTGGTATCTCCTGCAGAAGCTTTTTAATAAGAAGAGATCCCCACTTGTTGAATGCTTGTGCTAGTTCCTGTGCAACTGAGGTTTTATTCATGAAATCTTTTCCTAAGCCACCAGGATGATGAACATTTCTTTGTTGGTAATATATTAATTATGTTTTCAGTTTCACTGATCGTAATTGGGGTGTTCAGAACTTTTATCTTCTTCGTTCAGCTTTGGTAATT